AGGTTCATGCTCAAGTGCCCCCACCCCGGCCAGCTCCCTGAGAGGTTTAACTTCCTGGTTGCCCACCCCCCCACCCGCCCACCTCCCGGGGTTCAGCTCCCGTGCCCACCCCGCCACCTCCCGGGGTTTCAATCCTGAGTGGCTCCACCCGCCCACCTCCCCGGGGTTCAGCTCCGGTGCCCCGCGCACCTCCAGGGGTTCAGCCGATGACCCCCCACCCCCAACCACCTCTCCAGGGGTTCAGCTTGTGTGCCAGTCGCTGCCCTTCCAGGGGTTGGTGCTTCGGTCCTGCCCCCTTCAGCGTTCAGCGCTGAGACCACCCCTCTCCAGTCCTTCGTGTGCTTCCGGGCTCCTGCCCTATCACTCAGGGGCTCTTGGTGCAGTCAGGTTCTGGGCCTGGGCCAAGGCCCGCCTCCGAGGAAAGGGGGGAGGTGGGCGGGGTGGGGGCACTCACAGAAGCTGCTGTCTCTGGGCTGTGCTCATCCGGCTGAGCTCTGAGGGCCGGGGCTTGTTGCTCTCCCTCTCCCTGCTGTGGACACAGAGAAGCCACGTTAGTCAGCACCCAGCATCCCCTGAACACCTTCCCGTGGGCAGAGGTTGGCTCCTCCCTTCCTGGAGCAGACATCGTGGTGGCCGAGGTGACCAAACCGCTGCAGAACCACAAGTTCCATGCTGCACTGTGGCCGTGGAGGCGGGACAAGCAGTGCAGCTGCCTGACAGTCCTGTGACCGCCGGCCCCAAGCTGCTGCGCATGGAACCTGGTGACTCCTGCAGTTCCTCCTGGCTCCGTGGGGCATGGAGGGAGTGGTCAGCCAGGAACACGTCTCACGACACACAGCATCTCCACCCCACCTGCCTGGCCAGGGCAGGCTGCACAAACACCTCACGCTTCGGGCCAGATGACCCTGGCAGGCGGAGCCGGTCCCACTCCCACAGCACACGCCACTTCCCAGGAAGGCTGAGTCACCCACCCATGCCGACATGTCCCCAAGTCCTCTCTCTAGAAGGCGCATGCTATTCTACAGTGGGGAGCTGCACCTGCCCTCCTGATGACTGAACCTGGGGACGGGGCACAGACCCCCCGTAGATTCTGCCCTGCCTGCATCTATGGGGGGGGTACCAGCGAGCGCTTCGGTCCCCCATGGACAGGTGGAGGAACTGAGGAGGTTTCCTGAGTGCTGCTGGTTATTCCCTTTAGTTCTGGGATCTCCAAACCACCACGCTGGGCCCTGACTCAGGGTGCAGGCGGGCCAGGGCACTCTCATCTCTGACGTCCACCCCAGGCAGGCTCTGGCTCCCTGCGGAAACTCTCACCCTCAGGTAACCGTGGGAATCTCTGGGAGCTCACTTGCACTCCCTGTGGTCAGCTGGCCAAGGCAGCTGCCAACCTGGCCGAACGTTCAGATGGGACAGCGACCTGGGCCTTGAAAGGAAGAGAAAACCTTCAGGGCCACACCAGGTGCCTTCGCAGACCTGCCGTCCACACAGTGAGGTGGGACCCAGAGGACGGCGGGAAGGTGGAGCCGCGGAGTCCTCAGGCCAGGAGACTTGATCTTTTATTCATGGATCTCTTAAAATATGAATGACAGACATTTTGTGTCTGCCCAAAATAGCCCTCAGCGCCCGCTTTCTTTTAACCCTGGCTCTGTGCTGACTTGGGGAAGGACTCAGTCCCCATCCCTTCCTGCTCACACCGGCAGATGACAGCCCCTCGCGTCTCCCGTCTCCTCCGCCCGCTCAAAGCCACAGCTCCATTCATCCCAGGGGCTCTGCCAGGGCCGATGACACCTCCCCACGGCCTCTCCTGGGCCAGCCTTGCCCCGATGCAGAAGCTCTGCCCCTCTGGCCGGCTGAGCCCCTCCCTGAGTCCACCCCTGAGCAGCAGCTCCCTCAGCGACTGCCCAGAGCTGTCCTGGGTCCCCACCCTTGCAGAAGCCGTCAGCGTGGGGCCCCCTCCTCTAGGTGCACCCCTGGTGCCAGGACAGAGCCCTCAGTGGGGGAAGCCACGTGCTGGCGTCAGGAGACCTGAGCTCAGGCCCAGGGCAGCCTTCCTGGTTGGGGAAACCTTGGGCCCCGGAGCTGCACCCTCACTTTAAGAGATGAAATAGCAGTGGGGGCAGGACCAATGCCTCCCAAGGTCGCAAAGCAGAGGAGCTGCACCCAGGGTGGCTGCAGTGCCCACAGGGCGAGGCGCAGCACCTCCTTCTCCCCACTGTAGGGACCGCCCCCCACCCACACGTCCCACATGCCATCCTCCCAGGCGGGACGCACAGCCTCCCAGTGGGGTTTCCCGAGTTCAGGGTCCTGGGAACAGAGTGCTGGGCAGTCACTGTCACGGGCCAAGGTGACCCGTAGGGCAGCACCGGCAGTGACGCGACTCCGAGAGGCCTAACAGCAGGAAGCCATGGAGGAATTCGAGCCTAGCTCTGCCCAGTGTGGACCCTCGCCAGTCCCCACGGCACTCCCTCCAGGCAGGAGCAGCGACATCACCACCATCCCCCTCCTGACAATTGCCCACAAAGCGCACACAGGAGGCCGAGGTCCAGAGCTTGGGGGGTCACCGGGGTCAAGTGTCGCTCGATGCCTGCTTCCCAGCCAGGAGCGATGTGGTCCCCAAACATGGGCCCTGCCCTGGCCTCTGAGATTCCAGCTCTGCACCCCGCACCCCAGGAGCATGAGGCCCTCAGGGCAGGGTGCCAGGACAGGGAATTGAGAGGACTGAGGGCTGGGAGGGGCCGCGGGGCAAGGACCCAATGCTTGGGTTCCACAAGGACGGCTCTGCCAGCCCAAGCCAGATATTCTCCCCGCTAGGTGGGAAGTGGAGAAGTGGGAGACAGGGCTCCACGCTGCGAAGGAAGGGCTGTCCACCCTCCAGCCTCCCAGGCCACTGGTGCTCGCCTGCTGACCCCTCAAGCCCAGAGCACATCAGAGTCCATGAGTGGTGGTCAGTGGGGCAGAGACCTGCCTGCTGGGACCTAGGTGCAGTTCCCAGAGACATGGCCCACCGCCCAGGCACGCTGTGCCCCAGATCCCAGGGTCTCACACTTCCTGCAATACCAGGGTCAGAGCTCTCTAGAGAAACAGCAGGACTGGCAGGAGATGTCCAAGATGCACCTGGCGCACCTGTTGGTGCTGGGCAGTGGGAAAGAGCTAAAAACACGATCCCCACCTCAATGGGGCTAAAGGGAGCCGGAGGCAACTGCAAGAACTCCCAGCGGCCAACGCTGGAACAGTTTCAGCACCAAAATCAAGTAGTGCTGGATGACAATCCCGAGTGTAAACTAAACATCCATCTGTCCAGACCAACACCAAGGCATGACCGATACATATTCGGGGAGGACAGACAAAGCTCCTTTCCCAGCAGAATTCCAAGCAATCTTTGTCACTGCTGTGTCCTCCAGGAGGTGGAGCACAACCCCCACCCCAAGCCAGGGCTGCAGAGCAACTTCCTTCCAGAGAGGACAGCATGGAGTGGGGGCCTCAATCCACCAGGGGTGACAGGGTGTGCCCGATACAGTGGAGTGACAGTGGGCCTCCACCTCTGGGGGCTTCGTCCCCACACTCAGTCCCTTCCTTACCATGAGAAAAACATCAGACAGATCCCAGCTGAGGGACAGCTTCCTCAGAACAGTCAAGGTCACCAAACCAAGAGGAGTCTGAGAAACAGCCAAGAGGGGCCTAGGAGCCGTGACGTCTGACTGTCACCTGGGATCCTGGATGGATCCTGAGGCAGAAAGGGGTCGTTAGGGAAAAATGAAGGAAACCTAAGGTATGGGCTTTAGTTAACTATTAATTACTTACAGCTCACTATTTCTCTTTTGATACTGGTTCCTTATGTGACAAACACACCACGCTCACGTCACAGGAAAAGCATGCGGGGATGCCAGAGCTCCACGGAGCTCTCGGTACCATCTTTGCCATTTTCTATGATTCTAAAGCCTGTCTAAAACAGGGACCATTCCAAGAGCTCCACCAGGGTCAGGAGGCACTGCTTCCTGAGTCGCATCTGAGGAGGAACGGGGACTTCCAGCGACAGGAGGCTCTCAGGGCTGAGAGCAGCCCTGCACAGAGGCGCAGACAGCCCTGAGGCAGGGGCACATCCTCCTCGGCCTGGGGGCTGGGTGTTTACACAGCTCTCTCCCTTCTGCGAGCCCCAAGCACATTTTTCAGATGAGAAAACTGAAAACAGGGAAACGATACTTGACCAGGGTCACATTTTTGTCTAAGAACCAGGAATGTTCGGTCGTCACATCTCCACTTCGGGCGGCCGCTCCTAGTCTGGACCCAGTGCTCCACCGTGGGATGCCGGCTGGAGCTGCCTGGGCGTGCAGCACGTGACCTACCACCCCCGGGCCTGGGCAGCTGGGCCATGAAAGGATGGACCCCAGGTCTGACATTGCACACAGCCCCTGCTTTCTTCTCAGATGGCAAGTTAGTAGGAGAAAGAAAATTATTTTTAAAAAGGCAAAATAAGACCAGGTGCGGGGGCTCACGCCTGTAATCCCAGCACTTTGGGAAGCTGAGGCAGGCAGATCATAAGGTCAAGAGATCGAGACCATCCTGGCTAACACGGTGAAACCCCATCTCTATTAAAAACACAAAAAATTAGCCGGGCGCGGTGGCGGGCGCCTGTAGTCCCAGCTACTCGGGAGGCTGAGGCGGGAGAATGGCGTGAACCTGGGAGGCGGAGCTTGCAGTGAGCTGAGATCTGGCCACTGCACTCCAGCCTGGGCAAAA